TTTAATCCTCGGGTGGGAAAATCGAAAACCTGATTCCACATAGCAACATCCACAGCTTCAAGTAGGTTTCCGGACATTCGGGTTCGGACGGCGGAGACCAGCGAACTTCAGGAAGATTAAAGTCATCCACAACCAACTGATACTTAAAACTTAATTCGGCCGCAACATGAGATGCCTATGACCAGAATCATCACTGGCGTTGCGTGGGCGAAAGATACATCCAATGAGTAGGAAGAACTTATTTTTTAAGGCAGCTTGGGCCCAGCTGCTGCCTTCTACCGCAGACAAATGCGGGAGTTCCAGCGGCAAAAATGCAAGTGCTTGCTTCATGTAGATGCAGCTTCCCCCTCACTAATGTTCTGACGATCATTGCGAATGCAAATGCAGCCTTGATGAGAGAGTGCAGAATCAGTTACGGAGGCTGTTGCATCTATCTCAGCAATGGATGTACGTCAGAGTCTGAGGCAAGGACATTGTTCACTGTCTTTGAGGGAAACCGACTTACGCCTTTGAACTCCATATATATACATAAAAATCGTAGCAATCAGCAACAACATGAAGAAATAACATCCCCAAGGAATGCAGGCATCAAATCACAAAGGTCACTGGTTTTATGAATACCAAGTCACAAAGTTCGCTTGTTGCTGCAGCATATGTCTGTCAAGCCGAAATTTAAATGTCTCCATAGATTGAGACATAACAATCATCTGGGACAGGTTATTCCACGGTTCCACGACACAGTTGGAGAAATATAGTTTCTCGTATTCAATCTACCTTGGGGCACGTGTAGATTGAAGGGATGTCCGCGGAGGTTGGTTGTACTGACGAGTTGGAAAAGTTCGTCACACCGTAGGACGCAGTCCAAGCCACGCACAATACGGAAATTTTCCTTTAAGTCTTCACGGAGCGGCTTTTAACTCAGTGGAAAGACACTAAGGTTATTACTTGGGTGGATCTCGTATGGCATTTTAATTCAACCTCTTACTAATTTTTTGGCTCGTCTCTGTACTATTTCGAGTAGATTGCTATTCCACTGCATCCAGGGTCACCAGGCCAAGATTGCATATATAAGCTGCGGCCTTACAAAAGTGCCGAAGACTTTGGAGAAGCATTCTTCATCGAAGACTGTAAGTGTTAACCTGGTGGCGTATAGCACTGAATTTGCGGCCTTAACTGCCTTTCAACATGGCTGTGGGGTGTCTTTTATCCAGACTCCTAGATCTTTTTTGAGATTCTGCTTCCCGGATTGTCATTCTGTTTAGATAATATCGCTGCATATCTGGAAAGTAAACCTCGTTGCTTTTTGGCGAAGCATTTTGAGAATGGGTTATTCAGAAAAATTAGGGGACAAAGAGGATTTGTAAGGCCGAAAGACATGAAGCTGCATATGGCCGATGAAAACTCCACCTGCCGTGCTGAACCCCATTTTCATGGGCTCAGTAAGTCGGCATTAGTTTTTTTCACGCAAACATTTGAGGTGTAAGCAAATACACTGGAGGCCATCGAAAAAATAAACTTTTGCGAATTTCTGATTTAAATCGAAATATCATTGGTGTTTAGTACGGGCAGTAGCGGACCCACAACCGTGCCTTGAAGTACGCCACTCGTGATCGGGTGAGGGGTGAAGTAGCTATTACCGACTATGACTTTCCGATATCGGTTTGACAGATAAGACCTGATGAAGTCAAGTAGTGGCGACCGGATGCCAAGTACTTCCAATGCTTACTAAAAGACGTCTATGGGGTACCTGGTCAAAGGGTTTGCTAAGACCGAAGTAGATAACTAGCACTGACTGCTGCTCATTGCAAAGAGAAGTGATTACATAAAGGAATGCTAAATGGCAAGTTTTGCAGGATCGTTCAGGTAAAAATCCATGCTGACTAGAGCTCAGAAGCCGATTAGTTCGACAAAAGATAATCCTTTCAAGAAAGTTAGCCAGAGACGGCGTTTTGTGCACGCCCCGATGGTTATTAACATCGAATCGAGATCCAAACCTGAAAACGGGGATGATAATTGATGTTTTCCATGTCTCAGGAAGGGGTCCTTTTGAAATATAAACCGAGAATAAATGACTAAGCAATATGGGAAGGTCGGATGCCTGTTTAGTAATCGAATTTGGAATCCCGTCCTTTCCTGAGCAGTGTGAATTTTTCAATCGACTTATGTGTTCCCTTATGAGATCTGAGGAGACATCGATTGTACTCAGTGTCCTATCTGAAAGTGAGCGAAAGAAAGGGACCGGTTCGGAATCAGTATTAAGGTGTTTTACAAAGAAAGCACTAAATAACTCCGCCTTGTCATTGACATCGATGAGGAATATTTTATTATCACTTAGCAGGAGTGGAATATATTGGCCAGGCTTAGAGGAGGGCTGATGGCGTAAGATTTCAGCAAGGTATTTAGCAGGATTCAGATAACTGAGAGCAAATGATTCTCTCTGCCCGTACCGCGCCTGACGCATCCTCGGAGCGATTTCGAGAATTCCTGTGATTCTAGGATGAACGGATAAAGAACTATGGGAAAAGTCACACAGCTGCCGTTTCAGAATTTTAGTCTGTTGTCAAGATAATGAGGAACAAGGGAATCTGAAGAAGTATGCTTGAGATGTCTACGTGGCATAAACTCTAGGATGTCCTGGGAAACATTGGACATGAAATCACAAAGAAAGCTTGCATCATTACGAGGAAGAAAACCACGCCAATTCAATGACCTAATGTAATTATTTTTTAAGTCGTTCTCATCGCAGTCGTTATTTGGGAAGGTCCAAATTCTGTTGGTTTTCTTTGAAAAGACAAGTGTTATTCAACAATAAATTAATACGTGGTCACTGTCAAAAAGGTCCTTTTTGAAGCAACAAAAACATGCGCGATTTCATTGGTGAAGAGTAGATCAAAATGTAATTTTATCTTGTTGGAGAGCACACCAGTTGAGACCAGTTAGAAAAATTGACAATATCTTAGAAAGGTTGAAATGTAGGTGGACAGATATTTGAAATCAAATCTATTTCAGGAGATTTAAAGTCCACAGTGGTTATTTTAACATCGAAAGCGGTTTGCGAAATTAATTTGAAGATTTGACAAAGTTGTGCATCATCACTGGTTGAAGAGTTTGGAGGTTACAAATACTGTTGTAGCTGCACGGCGAGCTACCAGGAGAATGGAAGTGCGCACTCATTACTCCGATCCATAAAGGAGGCTCACGACTTAACTGCGGAAATTATCGTCCCGTCAGTCTTACTTGCATCGCGTGTAAAATAATGGAACGCATTATCAAAAGACACTTGATGAAATACCTGGAACAGAACAAAATATTGTGTGATGCCGAACATGGCTTTCGTCCAGGGCGCTCCTGCCTAACGAGTGTTCGTTACTCGCACGAGAAATGGACACGAGCTACCGATAAGGGTTTTCCAGTAGATGTCATATTTTTTGACTTCAAGAAGGCCTTTGACAGTGTCCCACACATGCTTCTTTTACAGAAGATCTGGGATGTTGGAATTCAAGGAAGAATGTTTAAGTGGATCAGGATTTTTTCTGTCCTCCAGACTACAAAGAGTCGTCGTTAGTAATTCTGCCTCGGAATGGGTAAAAGTGGGAAGTGGTGTCCCACAGGGTTCTGCCTAAGGTCCAGTACTCTTCCTGATTTATGTTAATGACTGCATCAGCGAAGTGAATTGCGAGGCTCTCATGTTCGCGGATGACATAAAAATATGGAGTGAAGTCAAGTGTGATGATGACGCAGAGAAGTTGCAGTCGAACTTCGACAAACTGTGTGCTTGGTCGAACAGATGGCTTTTGAAGGTTAACGTGTCCAAATGCGTGGTTTTGCACCTGAACACCGGCCGCAGTGTCTTTCCCAAACACCAGTACTATATTGACGGGACGAGGTTAGAAACTGTGGAAAGACACAGAGATCTGGGTGTATGGACGACCACAAATCTATCGCCATCAGAACACTGTAGAAAGATGGTCCAGAAGGCAACTAGTACTCTACACTGGATCAGACGTGCATTTAAAATATTTCCTCCCGAACTTTTCGAAAGACTCTTTTGTGTCTTTGTAAGACCTCATCTAGAGTATGGAATGCCAGCAGCTTCACCATGGGTGAGGAAGGATATCAACTTACTCGAACATGTGCAACGCAGAGCGACAAAGATGGTCGACGGTTTGAAGTATTTGTCTTATCAAGAGAGGCTGAATTTGCTTGGCCTATTCCCTCTCTCTTATAGACAAATAAACTGCAGTCTACTCTGGACGTTCAGGATTGTTCGCGGCCAGGGTTGCTCATTAAGAGCAGAGGATTTCTTTGAGTTCGTCCGTACAAACCAACTACGCGGCCATGCATACAAAGTCGGGAATGAACGCACGCGTTTAGACCGACGAAAATTTTCATTCAGCCAACGAGTTGTCAGGCCGTGGAACTCCCTTCCAAGCGAGATGGTGACGGCTGACACAGTTTTTGTGTTTAAAAGAAAACTTGCTCGGCTAGTTTTCGACAGAAATCGACTTGTACAGCATGACTATGCACAGCCAGCTTTGTAAAATCTGTCATATACAATCTTTTGCACAAATTTACAGTGACCCTATGCACTACCTTATGATTACGATTGAACTGTGAACCAATCACATTTTAAATGCCTGCAATTTTATTTTATTTTTGAGTATGAATCCGCGAAAGCACTGTACATAAATAGGGTCATCAAAGGCTCTGCCTGTAACCCTTCAATATATACATATACATATGAGAAGAAGAGGCGATCTCGGGAACCATGATTGTATTGTCCTGACGTTTCAAAAGCAGACAAGCTTTCATCGTCGGAGGTGAGTATCGTACGGCATCACACAGTATTTATAGGAGGGGGATAGATATCATTCATGCTAACACGGCGGTAATTATAGGGGGGAGGGGATGGTTAATCGGCTTTGGCGCTAATGGCCCGCATACGCAAAGGGATCGTCTCTGTAGTCGTCGGGGCAGAGCGGGAGGGAGGGTGACTGCTGTCAATCTGCCTGTCTCTCGTCGGGGGGCGGCATTTGAACGTTGGTGGCCATCGCCCGCATTCGCGTTGACCTTAATTGTCGTGCTGGGTTGCTAGTCTTGATTGCATCCCTCTGATCGCGTTTCTCCCCGTCTGCCGGAGTAGTAGTTGAGGCAACAGTATTGATGACTGCGCCTTCGTCGGGCCCGATTTGCGGTGTGGCTACGTGTAGGTCCGTCGTAGGCTCTCCCGTGTTTAGATCCACGTCCGGCCTGACCTCGCGCTTGCCCTTTAGTTCGTTGAGCTGCGTCCGGAGGGCTTGGTATGCTGTCGGGAGGGCGACGCAACGGTTTATTGAGGTTGTTTCCGTGTGCCAGGCCTCGATCGTTTCCCTGGCTACGCGGTCGTTGCCTCGACCCAGAATTTTGGCGTTCTGGAAGGCAAAAGTGTGTCCAGAGTCCGCGCAGTGTTCCGCCACCAGAGACAATGGGTCCATTCTCCTCACTGCCCGCATGTGTTCGTTAACGCGAGTTTGTAACCGTTTGCCTGTCTCTCCGACGTAGTTTGCTTGGCAAGAGTTACACTGGACCCGGTAGATGACGTTTGTCGTCTCACCTCGTGGCAGGGGGGCCTTCGGTCTCATAACCAAATGCCGAATGGTTGAGTCTGGTCGATGAGCGATCCCGATCCCCAAGGGCCTTAGGAGGCGGGAAACTGCCTCAGAGACGCCGTCGATGTATGGCAGTGCACGCCAGACTTTTGGCTGTTCTGTCACCCGATTTTGGCCTGGTTTAGACTGCCTGCTGCGCTCGATGAAGTTACGGGGATATCCGTTGGCCATGAAAAGGCGCTGAAGATAGCGGAGTTCTGTCCTTCTGTCATCCGGTTCGCTGCAGTGTGTTTCTGCTCTACTGTAGAGAGTTCGCACACAACTGCGTTTGTGACATAACGGGTGTTTACTGTGATAGTTTAGGATTTGGCGTGTGTTGGTAGCCTTCCTGTACACCGTCGTTTTTATGTGCCCGTTGGGCTTTCGATGGACAAGAACGTCCAGAAATGGCAGCTGGTTGTTGTTTTCCGCCTCCATCGTGAATTGGATGTCAGGAAAGACGGAATTCAGGACGATGTGAAATTCCTCGATCATTTCTCGTTTGATGATGACGAAGGTGTCGTCCACGTACCGAGTCCAAAACTTTGGCCTGTGAGTGGTGAAAACCAGGCTCTCCAGTTTTTGCAGAACTGCCTCAGCGATGAAGCCGGAGAGAGGCGATCCCATCGGCGTCCTCTTAATTTGTTCGTACATGGTCCCCTCGAAGGTGAAGTACGTCTTCAGGCAGAATTTTAATAGTTGGACTAGATGTCTGCGCTTCACTGACTTGTCCGTCTCGTCATACTGCCTCTCGAGTAATTCGCTGACCGTTTCGATGGCCAGGTCCTGCGGGATTGAAGTGAAGAGAGAGGTGACATCAAATGACACCATGACCTCGTCTGCAGTGAGTCGCGTTCCTCTGAGCCGTTCCAGAAACTGAGTAGCTGAACAGACCGTTGTGGTTGCGCCTGAGGTGAGAGGCCTCAGGTGTCGGAACAGCCATTTCGCCAGATTGAATGTTGGCGCGCCGCGAAGTGACACGATTGGTCGGAGGGGGACATCGACCTTGTGCACTTTGGGTAGTCCGTAGAACCTTGGTGCGGCTGCATCTGTTGGTTTAACGGCCAGTCGTACTGACTTGCTTATTACTTTGTTCGTTTGCATTTCAGCGAGCGTTTTGTCCAACTGCGTCAGCAGCTTCCTCATCGGCTCATCATCACATCGGAGGTAGGCCTGGCGATCATCCAGCAGGTTGTTAGCCTTCTGAATGTAGTCGGTCTTGCCCAAGACAACTGTAGAACGCCCTTTGTCTGCTGGCAGTACCACAATGCTCGTGTCGGCCCTCAGTTTCTTGAGGGCATCCTGTTCCGTTCTGGTGATATTTGCGCGTGGTTTGTGGGCCATCACCAAGGCGGTTACCTGTTGCCGAACGAGGTGTTTTGTTTCGTCGGATTCCTCGGTTTGTTTGAGAATCGATTCCACTGTTGCCACGAGGTTGACCGGATCGGCGTCTGTGGTATTGAAGCAGGCCTCGTGACTCAGCACTTTTAGTTGCTCAGGAGTCAGCTCTTTGGAGGATAGATTGTGGACTAGGACGTCGTTCTCCTCCTGAAACGTGCGGCTGATATTTCGAAGCTTATCTGCCAGCTCGATATCTCGTTTTGCTCGTAGTTCTCTGGCCCGTTTATCAATCTCCTGTTTCAACAGCATAGTTCCGTCTTCGCCGATGAGTTCAGTGCATTTAGCGATCGCTTGGCTCAGAACCCCTTTGTATTTCCGCAGTCGAAGATGGCAGTCCTGAAGGAGCGCCCGGATCATTCGCCTACTGTGTTGCATCACCCATCGTTTCGCCAGACTTGTGTTTACCGGTGGCTTGTAAGACAAGCTCTTCGGAAGCACATGATTGTCAAGGCATCTGTGGAGGAATTGAATTTGCGCGTACGTAGATGACACACGAAGGGTAAAGGTTTCCCAACGTCGTGCTGACTCAAGCGCTTCGCGCCCGAAAATATTGCTAATAGAAGCGAAGATTCGAGTCCCCGGACATAAATGAGAAGAAGAGGCGATCTCGGGAACCATGATTGTATTACAAAAATGTGCATTGTATTACAAAATGTGTGCAACAATGTGAGCTACAATTCTCAAGTCAAATCCCAGATTGAAAGGAGAAGACGGAAATCACCAGTTCGTGTGGTTTATTGTGCACAGAACCCGAAGTTGTCCCCTCAGGCAGCAGTGGCCACTGCGAAGCCAGGGCTGGTGTTGACTGCGTCCAGTCATGCCTGGACAGTAATGGCAGCCGTTTTTGCAGGCTCGTGGGCCAAGCTCAAGTGGTCTCCAATCGGTGTTTTGCATTTGCCGAGGGGTGGTGTCCCAGTGGCTTGTTTTGCTGGCTGCATGGGTGGCACGTTCAAGTGGTGCACGAGTAGCCGCGACGCTGTGTGGACGCAATTGTGCCCTAACTGAAGTCGGTCGAGTGGCTTCAGGTCGGCTGGTCTGGGACGGTTCGCTGCAAGGGGTGAATGGCCCTGAGACAGCGTGGCCTTGAACAATGACACCCCATCGGTCATGATGGGTGCCCGCTACACAGACAGTATTTGTCCTTCTTTTGGCGAGAGAATAAAAGTTGCAAAGCAGAAATTTCCCGAGAACGATGAGGCATGCAGGCAATAAAGAGAGTGCTTCAGGAAAGATCTAAGATAGAGAAGGCAGCCGCCCCTCGCCTATGTGTGCGGCTTTGACAGTAGAAATCAAAGTCATCTCTAAGAAGGGCAGAGTCCGAAATTAAATACTGGGTCCAAGATTCTGTTACAAGTATAATATCAGGCGACATTTCAAGAGCAATGGCTCCGATTTGGGCTACCTTGTTTACAACAGACCTGGCATTCAATAATATAATATCTAATGTGTTTCGAACAGCAAGGTTATCGTCGACGGTATTTAGAAGAAAGAATTTGAAGGCGGATATGTAAGCTGTGAATTAATGATGCTTGGAAAATAAGTACTAGTTAGTCTATAATTATTGACGTGCGTGGAGACAGCAAGAGAAGGTCGGGCATGAGACCGGTGAGTTGTCCTTCGCATCCAGAACCTGTGCTCGCTCTACCTTCGCCTCCAGCCAACGACCAGCAAAGCGTGCAAAAAGCGTAAATACCACAAAAAGTGTGAGGTACGAAGATGAGCCTTGTGGTGGGTGCGCCGATATTCAAATCAAAGTAGAACAACTGGAAAAGGAGCTTGCTGATTTAAGGACGCTCGTGAAACAGACCGTAGTCGGCCAGAACGTGTCCAGTGTTAGAATCCCAGAAACGAAGAGCAAAACGCAAAAAACGCGAAAAATATCTTTTCGGGGGAATCTTCAAACACGAGTTGCAACGCAACAGCCAAAACCGCAGACGCCGGTAACAGCAGGACAATGAAAACGAAGCCGCCGATAAAGGGAGACTCGATTTCCACGCACGATGTCTTAAGCGATGTCGCAAAAAAATTACCTGTCGCGGAAGTCATCTCACCTAAGCCTCTTGCTGTAAGTGATGGGATTTCTCTTCTGCCCGGAGACGACATACCTGGGTCATCGAGTCTACTGTTGCCCTCTTGTTCTGGCAACCCCCCCGAGCGCATTACAGAGCACGTATCTGAATGCGAAGACATAAGCCCGTGGGTAGAGGGGAGAGGGAAACGCCATGACAGGATTCTGAAGTCACAGGCAGCCCTGATGGGGTGCCCGGGACAGACGGTAGACAGTAGAAGTGTGCGTTAAAGCGATGACTCCGTAAATCGTCCTCGCTCACATGCAGCGCATTCACCGGAAAGACGGAGTAAGGAGGACCATGCTCGCCAGCAGTGTTTGGTTATTCAGGGTTTGTCAGAATCGAATGCAGTCAGACCTGAAGACCGTGTCTCAGAGGACTTTGCTTCTTTTCATGGTCTGCTAAATCATTTACTGCCGGCAGACATGGAAATAAAGGTTCTGAAAGCATTCCGGATAGGAAAAAGGAGTGAAGACAGGACAGTAGCACAACCACCTCGCCCTCTCAGAATTATGCTGGAGAACAAAGAGCAAATCAGGTTTATCCTCTCTAAAAAAACCGATCTCAGAAACACACACAAACAGGTTTTTTTTTCAACCGGACTATTCACCAGCGGAACGGTTGAAACGCCGGGAACTTGTCTTGGAGTTAAAATCAAGACTGAAGAATGGCGAACACAATCTAGCTATCTTCAAGGGGAAGATAGTTCGAAATATATGCCGTTTCAGTGGATCCAGCCTGTAATACTACGAACGACGACAGCTACTCAGCTAAAACAGACACATTCGTTGAACCACCTGATCAAGGCGCCAACACAAGTGAGCCCGTAGCGTCCACTGATCTGACTGAAACAAGGCATGTAAATGGAACCAATCAGGCAACGGGAGAGCTTAGAGAACAGGACGTCCGCGATAACGGAGTAATGCTCACAGCAGTAACAAATGCAACGGGAAATTCGGATGGTGCAAAACTGAGGTGCTTGTACACGAATGCCCAAAGCCTCATATCGAAACTAGACGAACTTAAACTTTGCCTTGTTGAGCTGTCTCCAGATGTTTTAGCAGTAACTGAGACCTGGCTGTCCGGGAATATTAGCGATAACGACGTAGCCTTGCCTGGATACCAAATCTATCGGAGGGACGGAGAACATCGTCAGGGTGGTGGTATCGTTGTGCATGTGAATGACGGTCTGGCAGTGTCGGATAACGCCACCAAGTTTGCGTGCAGTACGGAAGCTATCTGATTGACCATCAAGGCTACCGGTTCCCCGTGTTTCGATGTCCTCACTGTCTACCGACCACCTAGGACAGACCGAATCGCCGACACTCAACTCTTGGAGCAGTTGGAGAAATTTTCCAGTCGACCTAACATCATGATCATAGGCGACTTCAACGCACCAGGAACAAACTGGAATACCCTCCAAGCGTCAGGTCCAAAATCGACATTCGATTACCGCCTTTTGAGCAAGACATTAAATGCGTGCCTCACACAACATGTAATGTTCCCAACGAGAACACGTGAAGGACAAAGGGCAAACTGCCTGGATCTGGTCTTTACGAAAACACCAGACAGCATAGACGAGATCGCCTCCATGCCGCCCCTTGGCCGAAGTGACCACGTAGTGCTTATGTGGGGTTATTCGTTATTCTCCATTTCACATACTCCAGACCACAAAAGGCGTAATGTTTGGCGGGGCGACTTCAATCAGATGAGGGCAGACTTATCCGGTCTTGAGTGGGGCTCATTGTTTACGGGAAGTGCCAACGATGACTGGGAGCTGTTCAAGAATGTCCTTCTGCAGCTCATCAACAACCACTGCCCACTGACTAGTGTAAGACTGAACAAACGCCCTGGATGGCTAAATAGCAACCTCAAGAAAGAAATGAACAGGAAGCACAAATTGTGGAGAAAATACTGCGTCACTAGACAAGCTGAATGCTTCAACACCTACAAGACACAGAGGAACAAACTGAGGAAGCTCATAATGCAGGCGCGGCGGGAATTCGAGAAGAACTTGCTACAAAAAGCAACGCAGAACTCAAAATTGCTCTACAGCTACCTCCGACGAAGTACAAGGAACAGGCATCAAATCCCCTTGATAAAGACTACTGATAGCGTTGAGATCGCTGATAGTAGGGATAAAGCTGCGTATTTTTCACGGTTTTTCCAATCAGTCTACACAAATGAGGCAAGGTTCCTTCCTCCCTCCACAGAAGAACTGCCGACTCCAAGCGCCAGCGATATACTCTTCTCAGAAGGCATTGTCCAAAGAGAATTAGAGGCATTGAACGAATCGAAGTCGCCAGGACCAGACGAGATTCCACCCAAGCTTCTGAAGGAACTTGCCAGTGAGCTCTCTGTGCCTTTGTCGATGCTCTGTCATACGTCATTTGACACTGGAACACTTCCTGTCGATTGAAAGCTGGCGCATATTACTCCGCTACACAAAGGAGGTAACAGAGCAGCGACGACAAATTCCCGGCCCATAAGCTTGACATGCATTCTCTGCAAAGTTATGGAAAGGATCATAAAGAGTGAACTGATGCAATTCCTGGAAGTTCACGGCCTGCTATCGAAATGCCAACATGGTTTCCGAAAAGGAAGATCCTGCACGACAAACCTGCTGCAATCTCTCCAGAGCTGGACCCGAGTTCTCGACGACAGGCACGCAGTCCACATAGCCTTCATCGACTTCCAGAAGGCTTTCGACACTGTGCCACACCAAAGGCTCTTAGATAAGCTGTAAAAAATAGGGATCGGTGGCAACTTCCTTAAATGGATCGAAACCTTCCTTGTGGGTCGACGCCAGGTTGTGTGCGTCGGTCGGGGAAAATCAGATCCGGCTATGGTCGATAGTGGTGTCCCCCAGGGTTCAGTACTGGGACCCATTTTGTTCCTTATCTACGTGGACGATGCCGCAAGAGATTTAGACTGTGAAGTAGCAATGTTTGCGGATGACATGAAGATATGGAGTGTAATTCGGGGTCCTGCCCATGAAGACAGACTGCAGATGAACCTGAATCGGTTGGAGGAGTGGTCAAACCGTTGGCTCCTGCGGTTCAACGTTGCCAAATGTAGTATACTTCGCCTACGCAACACAGCCAGATCCGCCAGCACAAGAGGCTACTTTCTGGGCGGTGCAGCCCTACAAGAGGTCGAAGCCCAAAAGGACCTCGGTGTGCTTACGACGAGTTCCCTAAAACCATCCGCCCACTGTTCGAGGGTGGCAGAAAGATCAATGTCTGTACTGTACGCCATCAAGCGTGCGTTTATGGACTTTGACGAAGA